GTCGTCCTAGGCTAGGCATAAATTTTATAGTTGGTTGCACGAACACGTAGCTTACTGTTCGATGTGTCGCGTGTCGCTCTTTATTATGGGAGCATCTTTTTCTATAAGGATATGTGCATTCACGCACGTTTCACGCAGCTGCGCCGTGTTTATCGATTGCCGATATATTAATGTGTTGCTATTATTTATTTACATATTTATATGCGCAGATTTGTTCAATTATTCGTATATAACGATGTTTCTCTGTTTTCGGGGTAATTGTCAGCATCATGCGTGTTTTACAGGTTCACCCCTGGGTAACGTCACATGATGCCTTCCCTTTTCCCCAGCAGCAACAGACCCTCATCACCGTATCTGTCGCTGAAGTTGACTCGAGTATCAAACACGTTCCAAGACTCGCTACACTGGTACGCGCTTACACGCTCTGCTTTAAAAAAAAATTAAACAATCGGGAGACGAATTTTGTACATTTTTGTTTCGCGAAACCTATTTGTCGTTTGTCGTGATGCTGCCACAGTGTAAAGGCACTCGATCTGACTCGAAACGCTAGATAAAGGCGGTGATAAATTGAGAAAGAAGTTAGAAGTACGTGTCCTAAAACCTGTTACGTAAAACCCGACAATTAACAATACAATACAATATATAACAACAGCAACAACAACAAAAACAACAACAACAACAACAACAATAACAACCATAGCAACAACAACAACGACGATGACAACGACAACAACAATAACAACATCAACACAAATATGTAGTTGCTGCTGCGTGCGCATTCGCTATCAGAGTACCTGTGAGATCACCGCTAACAAACCCGGATTTTAATGGCCGCCATATCATGACGATAGTTCTTTTCATTCCGAACAACTTTTCTTGCGCGTGGGAGGAAGCGACGCGGGTCGTAAAAAACCTTTTTACAAGCGTTCTCTCGTGAACAAGCACCAGCGTTCACACGTACCTGCCCCCGACCCCCTCCCCGCCACGTCTCATCGTGTGTTCACACATCCCCTCCCTCTCATCGTGTGTATACGATCCACATCCGGAATCCAATCAACGTAAAAAACATAAAGCCCGTATAATTACACGGCGGGTGGTTACCGGTGCGTGTTCACGCCTCGATATAGAACGCCGTGTGAATCTAAATCGAGACATACTCTCCCGCGTTGATTCTCTACCGACGCCCGATACGGTTGTCTGCTGCTGCTGCCGTAACGGACGGATGTTACGATGATGTCACGTGATCGGCATAGCCGACGACTGATGTCAGAAGGCGTGCTACACTTACAGCTCTAACTATCACCGCCTCCTGTAATTATCATAGCCACACACGCGGACCATATATCATGAGCTAATAATACACGCGTTATTTGCCCTTGACCATGTGTCCAAGGTTATCTGTGTCGTTCTATGTTTAGTGACAGAGCGGATGTACGACGACATCGAGTGTGTGCCGATGACATCGAGTTGCGAGTTAAAAAGGAACATGTAGGGGGCAGCACGTGTAATGTTAACATTAAAACAAGACAATAACGAAACAAATGATGTTGCATTAAAACGTTTGGTGTAAATATTGCTCGTAATCGTTTAACATCGTTGTGTTATTGGAATGGACAGAGATTCCGTGAGTCTCCGTGAGTACGGTTAATCGGTAACATAACTAATTACTATTCGCTTCACCTTTGTTTCATTGCAGATACTCATTAAGCGTATGTTGCATAAGAGATCCTTCAAGAACCCGTTTCGACGGACTAGACGGAACTCAAACGCCGACCGGCTCGGATTTACCGGGAGGTTTAACTCAGCGCCCTGCTTGTATAATTTGCTCAAATAGCCAAGCATCGACTATGCGTGCGTGCGTGCGTGCGTGCCTACGTGCGTAAGTGCGTGAGCGTAAGTGCGTGCATGGGCGTGTGTGTGCGTGTGCGTGCGTGAGTATATGTGCGTACATACGTGCGCGTGCGCGTGTATGCGAGCGTGTGTACGTGTGTGTGCGTGTGCGTGTGTACGTGTGCATGTGTACGTGTGCGTGCGCGCGTGCGCGTGTATGCAAGCGTGTGTACGCGTGTATGCGCGCGTGCGTGTGTACGTGTGCGTGCGCGCGTGTGCGTGCGCGTGCGTGTGTAAGTACCAGACACGTGAAATCACCATCGTCCTGCGGTGCGGACCGTTATCAAGCATTTCTCTCATCGATTCATTTCACTTCGCTTCCCTCATTGATCGTAATCACCATGTCACTAGCATCAGTCGGCGTAGCCGGAAACGTCGCCGGAAGCATTGCTGATGACCGCCACCGGCTGCTTCCGTCGCCATGGCACCGGAAACCATTATTTAACAAGCGCGTCGTTCTGCCGTATATGGGTCATTGCTATCAACCTCGGCAATAGTGGGGCAACTTATTACAAACGCCTAGACGCCCGTTTTTAATCTGTTTTTCCCGGTTTTTTTAGGGGTCGTGTCGTGCGTTTGATTTGTGTACGTTCCCGAACGTTTTATCTTTAACTGGATTTGTTATGAATCGTTTATTCTTATAGTAAACCAGCCTGCGAGTGATGTTGATAATTTATCTCAGTTCAGAAGCCATATTGCTTCATCATGTTGCCTTGATTAGCGATATTATACTCTTCGTATATCAATAAATATCATATTGTAAAAATATATAGGTGAGGTATTGTATATTGTATTCCAGTTAGATCTATATATATATTATATATATTGTAAATACATTAAACTTTTTATTTTCAATCTTTGAGCTTCAAATATACGCGGATTATTGAAATCTGCGTTATTAGTATAGACCTGACTTTGGTTTTGTTGTAAATGACACTGTTTTCATTTTGTTGTTGTAAACCCTGAGGAAGAGGAAAATGTTCTCGAAAGCTCGCAGAATAAAGAATTGACACCTCATTCTATTTTGTATATTCTTATATTTTCATCTATATCTGCATGCGTGTCCGTGTGTTTTACTTATATATATATATATATATATATATATATATGTATATTTATATTATATCAAATGTAAATCTATGAAAATTAATAACTACTGGTGACTAGGTTCCTCGAGATAACTCCTGAACACATGCATGCTAGACATACGTTTCATACTACCATTAGGCCATAATAGAGATCTATCTATCTATTACCTATTATCTATTAATCTCTATTATGGAGTCTTGATACTATCTAATTCATTCAATACAATCCATGTTCTTCTTTCTGTTATGATGATAATGGGGCAGTGCCATGTCTATCACAACTCCCTGCCTATGAATGGTTTGTTTAGTTGGTACCGCGGGATAGTTAATGTTAATTGGCTCTGTATATATATATATATATATATATATATATATATATATATATATGTGTGTGTGTGTGTGTGTGGGTGGGTGTGTACGTATGCATAACAAGTGTTGGGTAAGTACCATTGCCTGTCACGGTTTATATATATATATATTTATATATAGTTTAATATTTCACACCAATTAATTCCTTTAACTCTATTTTGCTGCTTGATATTTGTTGAATAATCTATTAAATTTGGCAAGAAAAAAGTTTAGCAACCTATGCACGGTAGCAGCAGATGCACAGTATGATAAATATTACATCATGCACATTGCCTCGTCGTCACTGTCATCCTGCTACCAACTATAGTCGATCTAAATCAAGTCTAAAGTCCACTCGAACGTCGTGTTTACCGTTACCCTTACACACCACGCGCGCTCACAGCTTTCACGCAAAATCTACATTTATTACCTTTCGCGTCACGCCATCTATATACGATGCGAGAGAGAGAGAAAAAGAGAGCGAAAGAGCGAGCGAGAGAGAGAGAGAGACATACACACACATACAGAGAGAGAGATAGAGAGAAACAGAGAGAAAGGGAGAGAGAGAGAGAGAGATAGAGAGAGGGAGAGAGAGAGAGAAAGAGAGAGAGAGAGAGAGAGAGAGAAAGCGAGAGAGAGAGAGAGAGCGAGAGAGACACAGACACACACACATACACAGAGAGAGAGATAAAGCGAAACAGAGAGAGAGAGGGAGGGAGAGAGAGAGAGAGAGAGAGAGAGAGCGAAAGAGAGAAAGAAAGAGCTCAACCGCACACCATACACGAGAGAGAAGAGAGAGAGAGAGAGAGACGAGAGAGAGAGAACAGAAGATAGAGTAAAAGGGGCGAGAGGGAGGAAGAGATGAGTGAGGAGAGGCAGAAAGAGAGAGAAGAGAGATGGAGAGAGAGAGACGAGCGCGAAAAGAAAGGGGCCGGAAAGGGTGGGGGGGAGAAAAGAAGAGAGAGAGAGGGAGGGGGGGGGGAAGCCGGGGAGAGGAGCACCACACGACGCTACAGGTAAGAGAGAGGAGAGAGAAGAGCAGAAGAGAGAGAGAGATAGACTGAGGGGAGAGAGAGATGCGCCTTGGAGAGATGATGGAACGAGGAGACAGAGATAGAGGTATAATACAGGTGAGCGTCGAGGGAGGAGGGAGTGAGAGGGAGAGAGAGAGAGGCCGAGAGAGAGAGAAGAAGGGAGAGAGAGAGGACGAGAGAGAGAGAGAGAGAAGAGAGAGAGAGAGAGATAGAGAACACGTTCGCGCCTACAGCTGTCCCTGTCGCTACGACATTTTATAATCGCACGCGTTAGACGGGCCACGGTAGCCCCGAGCGGTCTCTCCCCCGTGCAGAAACTCACTACCAGGTCGACAGCCCGCCTCTCGTCGGTGTCAGTCTCAGGTGAGCACACGGCAGAGCCCCGGGACAGGTAAATAATTGCGAGGGAGCTACCCGCAGCGGAGGTGACTCATGCAGTGCGAGCCGAGAGAGAGAGAGAGGATCAGTGTTGCAAATTCCTTTGCTGTGAGTGTGCATACGCGCTGGCGATGGCAGTCGCTCGTACGTCGCTCTCAGCCTCGCTCTAGCCCAGCGCTCCCCACCACCGTCTGACCGGACGAGGGACAGTAGCGACGACCTCACGCGTGCGTGCCCCCGTCACCGACACGTCGGCATCCTAGAAGGAAACAGCGACGAGAAGAAGGAACATCGATCTCTCTCATCCGGCGAGAGAGAGGGTACATCTCAGGTGATCTCACACCATCGCTCTCTGTGCAGCCGGCGGACCATATAAAGAGAGAGAGAGAGAGGAGGGAGAGAGAGAGGGAGGAGGAGAGAGAGAGGAGAGAGACGAGAGCGCCAGAGAGCAGAATGGCAGAGTGAGAGAGGGAGAGAGGCAGAAGGGAGAGTGTGAGCACGGAGAGTAGAGAGAGAGAGAGAGAGAGAGAGAGAGAGCAGCGCCGCGAAAGAGAGAGAGAGAGGAGAGAGAGAAGAAAGTCACAGTATGACCTTGTAGTTGTGTGTGTAGACCGCGTGCGACAACTGCGGCGGTGACACATGGTGAACCTTGCACCGCTCCATTGATGACGTCATCGCTTCCGGCCCTGTACGTCACGTCATCCGCCGTCAGTGGATGAGATGTGCGCCGTGCGCGTGCGCGTGCGTTGCGGATGTCGCCTACACCACACACACACACACGCACGGACCGCTGGCTATACTTCCATACGACAGAAGACGCCGGTACGTTGTAGGTCGTAGCAGGAGATGCCAAGGCATGTATTGTTAGCTCTTGGTCGTAGCAATATATATATATATAATGTTGTAGGCCGTAGCGAGGTGAAACTACTGGCGGGGGCTAGCGCCTACTACTGTTATTGCTACTACTCGCTGCCTAATACTGCCCTGCTGCTACTAACTGCTACATGCTGCCTGCTGCTGCTACTACTGCTGTACGGCTGCTGCTGCTTGCTACTGCCTACTGCCGCCGCCGCCGCCGCTGCCTGACTGCTGCTACTGTTGCTACTACTGTTACTGCTGCAATATTGCTACTGCCAGTGTGTGGATATATATGTTCATACTACAATATCTACCTGTGATTTTTTTATGTTTACAGCCTGCTTACATCTATTATATTTTACCTTTCGCCGTTCAGCGATGTACCCTTTGCTCCCGTGATATTTATACAGTCTGTCCTCGGCAGATAAGTCATTGTATTACAGATATTGTGTTTGTATGTATGTATGTATGTATGTATGTATGTATGTATGTATGTATGTATGTATGTATGTATGTTATTATAGTATGTAATGTAATGTATGTATGTATGTATTATGTATGGGATGTATGTATGTATGTGTGCTGTCTGTAGTGTGTGCGGTGTGTGTGGTGTGTGTAGTGCGTGCTCGTGCGCTGGCCGTGCGTGCAGCTGCGTGCGTGCGTGACGTGCGTGCGTGCGTGTGTGTGCGCGCGTGTGTGCGTGTGCGTGGAGCGTGTTCCGTGTGTGTGTGTGTGTGTGTGTTGTGTGCGCGCACGTCCTTGTGTGTGCGTGCGTGCGTGCATGTGCCGTGCCGTGGGTGCAGTGCGTGCGTGGTGTGCTTATGTGGTGTGTGCTGCGCGCGCTAGTGTGGCGTGCTGCGTGATGCGTGTGTTGGTATATGTGTGTGTGTTTGTGTGTGTGTGTGTGTGTGCCTGTGTGCTGTGGCGCGCGCGCACGTAGTGTGTGGGCAGTGAGGCGTGCGTGTTGTGTTGCCTATGTATGTATATAAAGCAATTAAGCATGCTATACATGAAGGCACACACGCACCACACACGCAGCGCCAGACGCTGCATATACGCTTGGGTATAAAAAACAACGACATGATAATTGCACATCCTATAGAATTCTATATCAATACATTCTCAATGAATGCCGACTGCCCCGGGGCTACCACTAGTCATCTGCACAGTATATTATCCTCATTGAGCGAACGCACCCCACGTGGCAATAAACCATCTAACAACAACAACAACAACAACAACAACAACAACAACAACAACAACAACAACAACAACGAGCCCAGCAGCAAAACAGCAACACGCAACAGCCAACAGCAACAGCAACAACGCAAACATCAACATCAACAACAAACATTTAACAAACATTCAACAACAACAACAACAACAACTATCACACGCAGTCCTCGGTTTGCATCTACGATGCATATCGGTTTAAGGCCTTATCGGTATAAGATTGGCTTATAATGGCGGATCGAAGCAGTTGTCCGGCCAGGCTTATCCTTGTTCGAGCCGTGGTTAGACTGTTGATGACCGACCGTTCGCGATTGTTGCACTGACCAAGTAACAGGAAGTTAGCTGTTGGTTAGTAACTGAGGACACAGAACAGCAGTTGGTTCGGTAAACGGAGTGAATGACATACGTCAGCGATAAACGCGTGCGGTCGACATGATCGCGTGTTTGTAACACTAAACATTGACATTTACCTTACAGCAACGAGCGAGCGAACATACGCAATCACAAGTACGGTTAAGTACGGTCAATCACAAGTACGGTTAAGTACGGTCAATCACAAGTACGGTTAAGTACGGTCAATCACAAGTACGGTTAAGTACGGTCAATCACAAGTACGGTCATCTCTCTCATCTGTCCACTTACATCATCGCTTCATCGCTCACCTTCTTACCGGAACATCTTACTTGGTATTTTTTATTTTTGTTTTTATTCACTTCTTGTATTATATATTATCCTTATTATTCTTATATTTTGTATACTACATTCGGCAGTAGATATAGGGGATATATTCATGTGTGACACATGAATCAGTGTGTTGTGGTGTTGTGTTGTGTGCTGTGATCGTGTTGTGTGCCCTGTGGCAGGTCGTGTGTGTGTGGTCTGTGTGGCGGCCTGATGTGTTGCACCCTGTGCCGTGTGAAGCCCGTGTGCGCCGTGTGCTGTGGTGCGTCTGTGCAGTGTGCGTGCTGGCGTGTTAGGGAGTGAGTGCGTAGTGCGTGCTCGCGTGTGCGGTGTGCGCGGGCTGCTGGTGGCCGGTCAGCGTGACTGTGACGTGTGAGTCGGTGGTTGCGTGCGTGAACGTTGCACTGTGCCGGTGCTGGTGTGGGGTGCGTGTATGTGTGTATAGATGGTGAATCATACTATGATTCATCAAGTTCGTGATCCACAAATACGGGCGACAGCAGATAACGTGTCAGGCCTGGGATTTTATTACCCGCGTGTACTTACGTACCGTGCTCGATCACAATTTACACCCCCTCCCCGTGCGTTTTATTTGATTATGAAATCTGCAGCGAAACTCTGCCGCTCTAGTTCGTCATTTGGAGAAGGCGGCTGTGTGTGCGTGGGGTAAGTGTCGTCTACATATCCCTGCAGAGTTGGGAATTGGAGGAGAAATATTTAGCATTTGTTTCACGAAAGGTTTGAGATTTGCATATTCTATTACGTTATATCTCTCGCATCGTTTTTTCTCAAATTTGTCGCTTGTCCACGTTTATGGGCCGCAGCACTGGCTCACGCGTAGTGTCGCTGATCGTACACGGTTATGTCAGCGGGTGTCAACGTTATGTCCACTGTTGGCATGTATGTCACTTGTTGCATGTCTAATGTCGCGATTGCAGATGTTATAACTACTCACTTTATGTCGTTTCACGTATGTCGCTTGTCAGTATGATTGCATGATTGCACGTTATGTCCGCACACGTCCACGCATGCGCGATCCGAGCCCCTCACGGAATATGTGCGCTTGTTGAGCACGCTTATGCTGTCAGCTTGTCACGTTATGTCACTTGCAAGTTTATTCACTTGTCACTTTATGTCGCTCTCACGTATATCGCTAAATCGTTTGACGTCAACTTACAATTCGCAAGCTCCATTCAGCAGCTTTCATTCGTGCAGTATATCATCATTATATCACGTGCTTGCCTGTGACGTGGTTTGTGCGATAGAATTCACTCTGATCCCATCTCCCCTGCACTACCATCTCCCCTCACTACCAATCTCCGTCCTGCAACTACGCATGCTCCCCCACTCCCCATCTTCCCTCAACTCCCAAACGTCCGCCTCACCGGTGACGCATCCCTCAANGCTTGTCACGTTATGTCGCTTGTTGACACGTTATGTCGCTTGTTGACACGTTATGTCGCTTGTTGACACGTTATCTCGCTTGTCACGTTATGTCGCTTGACACGTTATGTCACTTGTCACGTTATGTCGCTTGTCACGTTATGTCGCTTGTCACGTTATGTCGCTTGTCACGTTATGTCGCTAATCGTTGACGTCAACTATCAATTCCAGCTCCATTTCAGCAGTTTTCGTCGTCAGTATATCATTCATTATATACGTGCTTGCTGTGACGTGGTTTCTGCGGGATAGAAGTTTCACCCATCCCATCTCCCCTCACTACCATCTCCCCTCACTACCATCTCTCCTCACTACCATCTCCCCTCACTACCATCTCCCCTCACTA